AGATTCCCTGCCAAATCCTGGCCTAATTCATGTACAAAGCTAAGATGTTTTTCTCTAAATTGCAATTAAAATTCCAGATGTTGTTAAAATGTTCGGATAAAGTAGTTTGCTACCATATCTGCTGTATTGTATGTGCGGCAGAAATACCTAAATAATAATGTTGTGTAAAGCTCTCTTTAAAGGTGCAGAAGTGTGCTGTATAACAATCTAAATGTTTCGCTTTTGGACAGAAGTAATAGCATTGCGTTTTTTCTAGTTTATGGGCATATCAAATAATGTCACCATGGTTACTGAAATGACAAAGGCTGAACAGATAAATTATCACTTAATTGAAGCAACTGAATCAATTAACCGCAAATGCCAGCTTCATTGTGTCTAAAAATGGTGAAATTGGATTTAGTGAAATACCATTAGTGAAATATTTCTGATTTGCCTAATCATTTGCATTGAAATTGAATAGAATAGTGCTGTTCTTATAGTGAAATTAGTATCTACTTATAGTAAAAAAGTGAATGCTCATCAATTCTTTCATTGTTCAGACATAAGAGCATTGGAATGTGCCTTGCAGATCAATGCAAACCAGTGCCTCCAGTCACAGAGCACTTAATCCCTGTCAGCACACAGACTGTTTCTCTTAATTGCACTTTCAAAACATTCATCTGAGTTCAGCTACAGGAAACAGAAAGTCTCAAGATCCCAGTCTTTTCTGTAAAGCATGCAGTCAGATTCAGGTCAAGCTTATGGCCTGCAACCTGAAGAAACAATGAATACAACACCATTTTTTAGTTAGAGACCTTGAATCAATGTGGAAAATTGCAGTAATTTCTGGATGGATTGCGTGTTCTTGTACCTGAACTTGAACTTAACACTTTATTACATGATCCCAGCATTCAGCTATATTCAGTCAACCAGCTCTTAATATTTTATCATTCAAATGCTCACAATAAAAGGCTTGTACGGTCTGCTTAAAAATGAACATACAATAAGTTGTGACTGAAACTATGCTTTAAGCTCTTGGCTCAGATAATTCCCATAAACAACCCAAGCTGTGTGGTTTATGATGTCATCTGACTCTTTCAGCTAAATTATAGCTGTATTACTTACTCCTAACCTTCCCTAATTCCTTTATTATACCCTCCTGTAAGCCAAATCATATTATTATTCTGTAGTGGTGCCATCTCATAGTCTCGCACAGACTTCATTCAATCCAATTCCAGTATTTCCTAAACTCGCATTAGTGTTTTTCCATTTTATTGAGATTATAAAGCACTCATCTATATATAGAAATATCAGACAGTGAACAAATAGATCAAAAGTATTATATTTAGACTCTAGCTGCATGAGATATATGTGTGTGATATATATATATATATATATATAATATAAACACCTAACATCTGATATCACCTGTACCCATGAGTGAAGTCAAGGCATCCTCAACATTCACGTTTTAAATGTATAATACACAAATTGTTTTCAACGCACTTCCTAGATTGGATTGAAAAAAGTGGATTATCTGTATTTATATAAAGATTATGTGAAATCAGTGTGAACAATCATCTAGATTTGAACATGTCCACCTGGGAGGCAATGAAGGCTTGAAAACCATATTTCTTTGTGAAGCAAAATAGTAGGCAAAGACCTTCTGGGATTTAACAGTTTACTTCAAGAAGACGCTACAAAACAAAACAATGTGTGGAAATAGCAGGAACTCTGATTTAAGAAATAAAACAATCAGCAAAAGTTTGTCAGTACAATTCGTTATTTCCCTTCTAGGGTGTTGATCAAATCCGAACCTTTTGCATGTCCTTAAAATAAACAGTTTACATTCAGAAATGGGATTTGACTACCTAATGTCTAAAATGGGTCTGACCTTTGTGGTATTTAAATGACATCAAAGTGGTAGATTTGTACCTCTGATTTCTACCGTTTATAGGATGGAATGGGAATTAATAAAGAATGTGGCATCTTTCAATAGCCCATGTTTTATGGATCATTTAGGTCCTTCATTAGTGAAAAAAAAGCATCAATAACTACTGCCATTTCAATGCCTGTTTAAGGCATCATTCTTGTCTGCAGCAAGACATCAGGTAAATGGCAAACCTATTGGTGACTTATTTAAATTAAACCCAAAACAATAGCTAGAATGACCACAGCTTGAATGTAACTGCAAATCATTTACAGGATTAAAATAATGCAGATGGAGGTAGCAGTTATATCTAAAGAACCAAAGTAACAATCGATACTGAAACAAATTGAGAAACTATTTTGAGATACACTTTGGTTGAATATTACTGCATCTGTGAACAATCCCATGAATTCAATACCTAAAGAGTGGGAGGTTTATATTTTGATGGCCATGCTTCTGAAACCTACTAGGGGAAATAAAATATCAATTGTTTCCACAGTAGTTGTACAGTTTACCCAGAATAACACCAAAGTTTTAAAAGTCTGCTTTTGTAAATGATAATGGCTCAAGCTGCATAATTGATATTGCTGTACAAAATATTTGTTTCAACCCTTTCTGTCTGATCCAAATATCTTTTTTGCTACTTACAACATTCTATGTTTTACATAAAATGCAAAAAAAGTGTGCAGAACGTTGCAAAAACAGAATGCTCGCATCCTGTTTTTCTTTTAAATTGATTCTGCCCCCTTCTGCCAGTTAGTCACTACAAAAAGATTTTGAGATAGGAGTTCAAGACAAAAAAAAACTGCTTAAAAAAGTGGGATCAAATTTTAAAAGGTCTCATTAAATGTAAGAATGAACATTCTTCTAAGTTAGAGATAGTGGGAACTGCCGATGCTGGAGAATCTGAGATAACAAGGTGTAGAGCTGGATGAACACAGCAGGCCAAGCAGCAGGAAAGCTGATGTTTC